CCTTCTTCTTGATGTTGTGGTCGCTTGGGATTGCCACATCTGTCACTGCAGCCTTCTTCTGCTGTTTGGCGATCAACACGATGTCTGGTTGGTTAGCCATCACCAGTTTGTCAGTCTGGATCTTGAAGTCCCACAGGATCTTAGCTCGGTCATTCTCAACTACCTTAGGAGGTGTCTTCCATTTTGACCTTGGGACTTCCAGTCCATACTCCTGGCAGATATTCCTGTACACTATGACAGCTATCTGGTTATGGCGTTCCATGTACGCACTTCCTTCCTTGCACAGTCTGCACCTGCCTGGTGTGGTAGACCCCAGCCTCTATTGATCTTGTACTGAGTGCCTGTTCATGTGCCGCCATGATTAGTGCTTCTGTGCTGTTCTTCACTCCAGCCTTTTCCAGACGGATTTCTTGATATCAGCTATTTGTCGGTGGTTCATGCCGTGCAGCGGCTTGTCTCTCCATGAAGGTTCTTCATCTTTCTTGTCCTCATCTTCGGCTTTCTGCTGCCTGAGGAATTCACTAAGCCCTTCATCTTTGGGGGCCATCTTCCTGATGTACTCCTGGATCTTTGTCGTTTCATCCTGGACAGTGGTCTTGACACTCCGTAGCCCTCGGCCTCCCTCGCTATGCTTGGTGTACAGTCTCAGGGTGCTGGATTTGGGGTGAAACTCTCCGTACATTGTGAGGAGCTTTCTCGTCTATTTATATAGTTTGTTCCCCCCCCCCCCCCAAAACTGCCTGTGCCTAGCTGAAGCCTCATCATCTCAGCTGTGCATTTATTATGTACTCATCGCAGGTTGGAACAAACTGGAAAGTTTGTAAATTGCTTCGCTGAGGGATCCAGAGTCATGGCAAATAAAATGAGTCAAAATAGATCAACATGTCCATAGAAACTTTTCAAACCTGCAACACAATACTTCGCCGCTGTTACTCCATATTGGTGAATGACCAGAGGGGAAGTGGATTATGGTTTAAGGGAGTTTCTATGGAGGTTTTGATGTTTTTCTTTGCTGTGACTCTGAGTCACCACTGCAATACACTGTAACTGCTGTGGACACAAGTGGACTACAACTGCTGTCCTTCACACAGGCAAGATACAGAGCCACCTTTCAATACTACAGGAGTCAAGTGTTTGATACTCAAAAGACAGATTTTCAGTGATGCTTTGAAAATAAAGTTTCACTGAGAATAGTTTGACATTTTGGGAAAAATATATAATAAATGTTGTTTGCTTTCCTGCTGATAGATGAAAAGATGAATACCTCTGTTTGTACAGTAAATATTAAGTTCATATGAGGTTAGCTTAGCACAAAGACTGGAAGCAGGAGGAAACAGAATTATAATACTCACTAATTAACATATTATATCTTGATTATTTAATGTATTAAAACAAGTAGGTGCAAAAACTACAAATTGTGGTTTTCTGGGAGTGTGGCTATGTGTATGATTATTTCTTGGCTGGATGAGGTGACTTTGTGGAGTCTTGTTGTCACAGTGATTACCAGACAACCAGCCGTTTCCAGTCTTCATAATACGATAAGCTAACCAGCGGGATGTCTGGCAAGACAAGACGCCAGGAAGTCACTGTGAACCAAAAAACCGGCAAGAAAGCAAATAAGTGCATTCCCCAAAATGAGGAACTCCTCCTGTAAAATGAAAATAATGGCTATAATGGCTGAAAACAAAACATGGAATGATTTAAGACCAAGAACCAAAATCTCAACTACAAAAATACAAGAGGGCACACAGAAACACACATCTAAAAATGAAAAAAAATCCCATTAGCCTCTGTCCATGCGAGGTCAGGGAAAGTAATATATCTGGGTGGCCAAGCAGTATGCAATAATTCCAGGTCTGCACATTTTCAGCCGTCAAAATAATCTATTGGAAGCCAGTAGGGAGTGGAAGGTGCTCTCTGTTTGCGTGCATGTGTGTGATGGAGGGGGCAACATAAATGTAGTGAGATGACAGTCTACAGAAAACTCCACACACAGTTTACAACCAATGTACATAGAGGTAAGAGGAGAAAAACACCCAGCTTGGTGATTTAGGAACAGCTTGTACATCAAACACACAGGGCCATACAAAGTCCTTGACTGTCAGGAGGCACATAGTACCTGTAACTGCCTCTACTCCTCCTCTCCGTCCTCCTCAACCCTTTACTGCATCTATCTATCTGCCTACCTATTCATCCATCCATCTGTCCATCCAACCACCCATTCATCTTTCTTCCCCATTTTGCCCGTCAATGTGGTACACCGCTGTGTGATTTAAACACATGCAGCCGAACATCACTTTGATTTTATGATTTCAAGACCCAGAATAAGGGAGAGATACAGAGAAGGAGGCAAAATAAAGCAAATGTGTAGGAAGATGTAAAAAAAGTAAGGAATGACCGGCCCCAACTGAGAGTATATTGCATTTTTGTGCCACGTAAGAAAAATAAAAGTTTAAGAATTTTGGTCTTATTATGGTAATATTATGGGACCTCTCGTTTTAACTCTCTCTCTGTTCTATCTTTGACTGACAGTGACAAAAAGCAAAGATGTCAAACAAAAAGAGTTGAACTGCAAACCACATTAGCTTATCTACAAGCATTGATGTGTCTTTTACTGCACTTGGGGGTTGATGAATAAATGAAAATTTAACTGATAATGTCAGTTTACAGGCTACATGCAGTAGCTAATTAGCTAGCCAACTGCGGCACATTACACAACAAAAACTAGCCTGTCAAGATGGGTCAGTTTAGATGCAGAGTTTCGTGATCCTGAGCTTTAGCATCACTGCAAAAAGCAGTCCCTGGCTTCTAAGCTACAGTTTCCCGCAGAAGTTTGTTTAAATTGGGTCTCAGCGCCCCTGTCGAATCAGCTGTCAATCAAACACATACACTGGCCTGCCCATTCAGAGGCTCAGATTAAAATGAGCGTTCTGATCTTCGAAGACGTTTTAAACTAATATTAATACATCTTAAAAGCACATTGACATGCCTTTTGACTAAAATAATAATACATTTTATTTATATAGCACTTTAAAAAGGTACTCCAAGGTACTTTACAAGGTTAAAAAAAACAAAAAACAAGATCAGCATAAAAACCACAACTAGAGATAACTACATGAAAACAAAGGAGGACTTTTGTGGTTTCAGTTGTACTATAAGACCCCCCCCCCCCACACACTGGATTTGCCACCACAGGGTGCAGGTCAATACTTCCAAGTGTCAAGTGGCTCCCTTCCAGTTCACAAGAATAGATAAGTAAATAAATTGTCTTTTACTTTTCTGATTGACAGTCTCCTTCTCCTTCACTTTCTCACGGCTCCCCTCCGACATCCTGCACTGCATTCACACTAAGAACCAATAATATGGAAAGTTTCCTTTTTAAACGTGTGATAAATGTTGGCCACATGAATGTTGTGGGTCTCAAATGGGACCAGCGAAGTGTTTTAGTAAAAACTGCAGGTCAGACATTAGTCATGTTGACGTTGCCCACTTGTATAATTCCAGATTAACGACTGATGTGCACAGTGCTGATTATCTCACTCGAGAAGATATGAAAATTATTGCTTCTGCCACTGCTTGGCTACACATTATTGACTAAGTTACAAATCTGTCCGCTGTGACTGTGAGTTAGAGAACTACTAATGCCTCAATATAGCTGTATCCACCCATGTGCTTTTAGACTGACCAAACACCACAGTGGCTGATCTCCCTAATTAGTACAACATCGCCCAGGGAAGAATTAACAGCTGAAACCCCCCGCTGCAGTGTTTGATTAGAAAGCAAATATGCACACTTTTGTCCGTTGGCGGTTCATGATTTGAGACCTCTCTGTACAAGGGGGAATCAACAACGAATCACATCAGGCAGAAAATTGTTGCTGCAATGTTAATGGGCTGAGAGTTTGAAGCATGCTGCACTTCTGGCTACACCCCAACCAGTGATGAAAACATTAAAATAGAGAGCAGTGCACAAATAGCCCTCTGTGGTTAAATGTTGACTGGCAGTTTCGATTTGAGATCTTTCTAAGAATTTCATATAAAGTTTTGTGGGACTGAATAAATTTGGCTGTACATCATGAGTTTGTGAGGACCCCCCCCCCCAACAGGTCAGTGGAGTTTGAGTGTTTTACCTCACAAACAAATTCACAGCCAAATTTAATCATCTCTAAACTAAACCCTAAATATAACCACCTCTTTACTATTTACACAAAATTCACTGTTTATTATTTCTTTCACCTGGTCTACAATTCTTAGATTATAACTGCAGTCATACTTGGTACTTGAAGGTTGTCCATATAAATCAGTTTATCCACAGTTCCATCTCTAAAGACCCAACAACAATCTTCTATGATGCAAAGTCCTTTTGGCACCAGTGAGTCAGAAAAGTTGGAATGCAGATACTTTGGTGTCAGATACTTTTCCTGACTTTATTTAGGCTTTACTACCTTTCACTGAACCTTAAAACCCACTAAACATATTGTGCTGTTTTGCAGTCAGTGTGTTCTAGCTGCTCCACAGAGCATTTTTATACTGAAAGACGAAGAGAAGTTGTGGCTGTATAACATTGTTACTGTCCCCAATGCACACAAATGTAAAATATAACCATGCTGAAACAAACTGCAGTACAGTCTAGAGCTACAGACACTAGAATAGTTCTTATTATATTTTACAATTCTAAAATGTTTGTTAATGAAATCAAACACCGTCGTTCTGCATTTTCTCATACCATGAAATGCTTTAGTCATAGCACTAAAAACACACAATATCTTAACAGAATATAACAAATCTATACTTCTGTGTGCCACAAATTTTGAGCATGGACTTAAAAGTAATAAGATTCAAATAACACAAGCAGTGCAGCAGCTTTTACCAATTTCCAAGTCAACATTCATTCATTCAGCACTGATGGCTGTAACGATGATTGTAGTGACATTTGTATACACTCCCCTATAATAAGTATAAACTGGGTGTTATTACAGACTCTGTGTGTGTGAGACTTACTTGAAGCCAGGTGAGATGGTGGCACAGCTGCCTGACTTGAGCCAAACGCAGTAAGGGTCTCTTGAAGACAGACAGCTTCTGCACAACAGACACAAACAGACAGACGGTTAGTGATGGAAGTAATTGTGGAGAGCAGTGCGCGTGAAGAGCACTGAGCCCAGCAGCCGTTATTTGTGTGATGAGGTACTACACTGCCACCAACCTAACACCACCCAGAATAAGCAACCAAAAGCATTAAAAAGCCCATTAAAGTTAAGATGAAATTGCTGCCATTTCATTTAACGAGGTGAAAAAATTGTTTATCACCAAGCATCTCTTAATTGACAAAACTAAAGTGCCATTATTTTGAACTCTGAAATTACAGTATAAATCTTTACATCTTAACTGTGACTCTTCATGCTGCTCCCATAATCTTGTTTTTATGCAAATACATTGATTTGTTTACACAGTCTGCTGATACACAGATGTGTGGTATTTATATACAGTATAGCTAAATCATTTCATGATTGGATGATAAACACATGGCTGGCATTTCACAATGTGCACATCAGAGTATCTGCAGTGCTTTAATGTATGAAGAAAAAAAATGTAATTAGCTATGTTTGCTAACATTCAGAAGCAAACATTGACAAATATCCAAACATTACATCATTCCCCATATCAGAGATGAATGTAGACGATCATACAAATCTTTGGAATACTTTACCTGTTTAAATAAGAATTGCTCGGACTGCTGACATTTTCATGTCCTTGCTAAAGACCCACATCTATTCATTGGCTTTCAAACAGAGTTGAGTATTGACATTATTGACCTTTTCTACCGTTTTTGTCGTATATATTTGTTGTGTATCCTGAACCTGGAAAGCACGTTGGTCGACTAGGGTTGTTTTTAAATGTGCTATATAAATTATCTTGAATTTAATTTATAAGTTTCTCAACTGATTATTATTGAAAAAAATAGGCCCTGTTTTTTTGTTTACAAAAATTGACTGATGTAAACAAACTTTCAACAGTAACACACACACAAAAAAAAAAAAAAAAACTTATAATGAAATCCATTCTTTTAGTAAATAAATGTAATGTCAAATCACTTTATCATACAGTATTAACAGATTCTAGTCCAAGTCTATGACGTGCAATAGAAGAGGTCTTTTCAAGAAACGGTCAATTTATTCTGCCATGTACTATAGTCCAAAAAAACAAACAAGAAACTGAATACCCCAGGATATGTTGAATTGTTCTTTAATATCTTGTTTTATCTATAATAACGTTGACTCATGTTGACTGATGTTAGTCAAGGTTTTGGAAGATCGGTCATTGATTTTGATAACTGTATCAGTTTCCAATCTTGTGTTTTTACTTTTGGTAGTGCAGAAACTTGTTTGCTTAACATTTGGTTTGTACCTTTAAAGGCAGGATCACAGCAGGTCACTCAGTGCATCATCAGCTACGCTTTAAGTTTTCAGTGCAGTCATTCTGACCGGCCATGAATTACTTTATTCTGAGTGAAAAGCCGGCATTGTTCCAGTCTCTCAAGCCCTGCTCTTACTTACAGTGCTGTATGTCAGTTTTGCGATTTAGCGAGTAACATGCTGGGTGGACTAGGAACCTCCTCTATTTAAGGCAATCAGTATGAACCAAGCAATTAGTCACATTGCCTTCACTATAAAATCCCAAATAAATCACAACATTCAGTACTTTTCCTCAACAGTGAGACCCACATACGTCACTTTTGTTGATTAAACTATTCCACTGATCTGCTGTCAGTCTTTCTGCCTCGTGTTTGTTTTAAGTCTGTGGTTTTTAATCCTGCACTCTGGAATGAGTTGCATGATCCTTTTGGCCTTTATCCTGCCACTGTCTAATTGCAAAACATTGGCTGTCAGTGAATTAACAAGTTTTGTTTTCACTGCTGCATAGCTTCCTCTTTGCAGGTCTGTGGTGTTCACACAGCAGCACCAACATAATGAGCATAAAGTACACAGTGACAAAAGACTAACAACAACCAACAATAGTGTTTACCTGCTGCCAATCACTTTAGAGATGTTTTTAGCCCCTTATGCGGAATAACGCCATCAGACGTAAAAGTAAACAAAGGAGAATATCTGTAGATGGCTCGTGGTGCTGCTGGTGCAGTGTCATGTCAAACCAAAGTTTTAATGAGTTTTAATGAGGACTCCTGTGACTTGTTTTAAATATCTAAAATGATTTAAAACTGTCTAAACAGAGCGTGCAGGTGTTACACCACTTTCACTCTCAGTCTTCTTACAGAACAAAGAGAAATCAGCACAGAAACTAGTCCCTATTCACCTGCGGCTGGGAACGGAGTATAAATGCATGCATTTGTGTGTGTCCTCAAAGTATTATGCACACACTGCATGTATGGAAGTAATCTTTTTAGTTGTTTTTTTTATGGAAACAAAAAAAAACCTAATAATAACACTTACCAACATCCGATCTGGGAATACCGTAGAGATGCGTTACCAATTCAGGCAAACTTACAGGAGGTGCACAAAATAAAATAAATTTATTCTAATTTAGTTCTGGAGTACTGACACCCCAACATGCACAGAAGTAGAAAATCTAAACTTCTGAGTGAAATACAAACTTTCATCAGCAAAAAACCCTGAACTGTTTTTTCTGTCCCTCACACCATCACAGACTGACAGAGGACCTCTGGGTATCAAGGTCCTGAAATGACTCTCGTCCCCGTGTGTGGCTGCCAATATGTCACACTGCATAGTGCAGCTTTAATGTATTATTCATCCACTAGCCATAAGGTATATATCCATCTCTCTCCCCATTCTGCTTCTCTTCTCCTCTCTATCACCACATACCTCTACATGACAGGAATGAACCTCCACACTAAAGCACTACTGGAAAAGTCGTGTCCAGCTGTGGTTTAGGTCAGACACGTGATGAGAAAAAAAAAAAAAGCTTTGTCTGATATTGTTCTTATATTTGCAGTTTATTTACACAACATGTGTTCGTGTGTGTCCCTTGACTTCTCTTCTGCCTTGCAATGATGAACAGATAGGCGTGTATGTTCGCCTGCAGCCACAGTGTGAAAGGAACATTCATTAGCTGCTGAGAGGAGGAAGGATCTATCCAGTTTCTGAGGCTCAGGCTCATAACTTCCAGCTGTCATTTAGCCAACATCCTAGGAGTATCACTGTCCTGACTTACTGGAGATGGTTTCAGCTAATATGCTGGTTAACAACTAAGCAAAGAAAGAAAACATTCAAGAAATATAAAATTAACCTAATTTCAATTAAAGTAAATAGGTTATTAAATATTTGTTTTATGCTACATTTATTATTACATTGAGGTTTATAATTAATATTTTTCCAGTAAATAAAAACAATGCCTCTTTTGTCATTCACATACAAATTAAGCAGTGTTTAAAAAAAGCTTCAGGTCACAAACAAAAAAGGAATTTTTTGTTTATTTGGATATTATTTTTCTAGTTTTGGCCATCATTTGTATCGCTAATAATATCTTTGTCTTCACCAAATTAATTGCTGACATCTACGAATGTGCCACCATTGTAACAAAAAAAGGACAAGAATTGTGAGCAGTCAGGTTGAGAATAAACCAAGAGGTTAGTCAAACTTATTTGGAAGAGACTTCCTGCTTCAACTCTGACCTTCTCTACTTTCTGAAAGTGTGCGCAGTTTTCCTGTACAGTAAGAGATTATTGGGGCACTTTCGGATTCAACTCCAAATGAAAGAGGTTTGAGACGGAGATAGTTCTCCCAAGACAAAAAATTCAGTATGTTTGTTTCCACAAAGGGCGGGAGTGCTAACCACTGCACCACCTTGCCGCCCTGACATTTGCCTTTAGGGGGCAAAAAATGTAACACCGTTGTAGAAGCACAAAGTCTGCAGAGGGACGAGGTCGGGTTGGATTGCTGTTCATTTCTTGTTTCAACAAGAAACATTGGTTTCTATAAACAATGACAAGATCATTGTTACCTTAAGTAGTTATTTTAATGCAAGCTATGAGTTTTCCCTAATAACCTTATAGTCCCTTTGCACCTAAACATAACCAACCATAACCATAATAAACCAGAATGATCCTAGCGGACTGCACTTACATAGCACTTTTCTACTTTAATGGATAAAGTGCCCCCCCCCACACACACACTTATCAATCTATAAGAATTAATATATAAGGCAGAGATGACTGAAATCTTCAACTAAATAAACAGTACTTAGGAGATAGGAGACAGTAAAAATAATACATGTTTTTTTTCTTAGATCAGTCAGTTGAAACGGTTCATATAAAAAAGGAAATATCCACTGGATTTGAAAATCCCTGGATCTACAGATTTTCAGGGTTTGGGGCCTCTTTTGCCCTTTTATTGTATTTCTTTTTATTAAAACTTCCATTTCATACAGCTCCTAGCCGCTGCTGAAAACAGAGCATTTTCTGAAACCTAATATTGGCATCAGGGCCTCGAGTAAAAAAAGAAACCTGACGATGCAAGCTACAGTGTGTGTGTGAGCGAGAGCGAGAGAAACAAGCCAAGAGTGAGAGAAATGCAGAGACAGAGAGAAAATGGAGGCAGAAAACAGAGAGAAGGGGTAAATCTCATCTGGAGGGAGACAGATTCATTGGTGTGGTAAAGGAGGATATGGCAGCTGAAACCTGACCTGGCCAGTGCTGATGAGGCTTACGGAGCCCCTAATCTCAGGATGAGGTGTGCTGTAGCTCTGGTCTCTAAAAAGGGATCTGGGGATATAGCTGGCCCGTAAGCTTAAGTAAGACGGGCCCTATCCATTTTCTCCAGTTACTTCTTTTCCTCTTCTGTCTCCTCAAGCTTCGGAAAAAAAAAATAGTCACTATCGCTGGCTCCCAGCCAATCAGCTGGATCCAATTTATGACTAAATGATGTTGAAAGCTTCTCCAGGCCTTTGCAACCAGGGGTTAGCATGCTATGGGGGTATATATATTCCCTGGTGGAGCTGAGGAGATATCCCGCCTCTGGGTTCAGGGGGTTGAGAAAAGGGGGGAGATACATGGGGCTAGCATTCCTCACAGACCCAAAAATAGATCCTGAAGCTGTGGAGCAAGTACATTAACTGGGGCTAAAACAGCGCCTGACAAAACAAAAGGCAGTGGACAAAGAGAAACGCTCGAAGGCTCTGCTGTGCTCAGCTCATAAACTTGTTCTGAAAGCCATGTCAGCCTTTTGACAGCACCGAGTTCAAGCTTCTATTTTGTACCTTTTACAGAATTTATACCAGACAGTGATCTTTGGCAAGTAAGTTTATGGGGCAATACGTTGTTGATGATAATGATGATTATGCTAAACAGAATTGTTTTAGCACTCTAACTAATCATGTGTTATTATAATTATCTCTATTTGTTTTGATTTTCAAGGATTGATTAAACATTTGGTTTCCGAAGGGACATTTTCAAATAGTGGTTTATCCGACAAACAGTCTAAAGGGTGAAATTTACAAGCAGAGCATTTGAGAATGAGCTCTTAGTAACCTGATACTGATAAACCCAGAAGATTTCTTGCCATGTACATAACTGGGTCAAATACTTCTCTTGGGAAGTGTCACTGTAACAGCATGATGGCTGGAAAAAAATGAGAATTACCTGAAGCGATGTTTCCTTGTATACAAAATAATTCCATCCAAATAAATAAAACTGAAATGAACACAGCAGTGCCAGTGTAGAAATAACAACAACAACATTTAACATTTGACTATTCGTACAACACAGACACATTTGTGCGGTCAGGAAAAGTTCAGGCTCAATTTAGGAAATAAGTAAACAATAGTTTTAACGTAAGACCGGGAGTAAAAGGGAAATCTGGTTACTGACCTTTTTATATACAGTCTATGTTACTGTACAATACATTTTACTACAGTGCACGTAAATGTGTTCTGTGTTCATGCACAAAATACAGAATAATAAACAGCAAAATCTCACATCTGAATATGCCAACTGTAAATCCCAAATCCCATTATTCTCGAAGATTACACATCAGAAGTGCTGATTTTTATTGTAGCTGTATAAGAACATGGGATCTTGTACACTCAAACATGAAGCTCACGCAGGAATCTGATCAGAATCAGCTTATAGAAATGCTCAACCGTGCCTTTAACCAGAGCATTTCTCACGTGGCTGTCACACCGTACTTATTCTCACTTACCTGCCAACACAACAAATAACCTCAGAGTGCTTTTTGGGGAAAGCCTAGGCCCAACCAACTCCGTGAGCCAGGCAGATAATAGTATAACATCTGCTATTTGGTACAGGCTTTTGTCCAAAAACCTCTGAAAGTATTTTGAGTGGACACATTTCTTAAATTGGTAGTTGTGGAGGATATTGATCCTGCTTTACTGGAGTTACCTGGCAGTGAATGCCATTTCTTCCCGGTGCACAGTGAGGAAACCCTAAATTCATGCAGTATTTCTGGGTCGCAGAACTGAGAAACAAACCCAGACCCGGTCTTCATGCTGATTTTCAATTGTTTCAAGATCTTTGATTTGTTTTGTTTTTGTGACTTTTGACGAAGATCAATTTTTTCAATGTTCAGGTTTACTACAGCAAAATCTACATCAGTTTTACATGTGACAAGATATGAGCACTTTAAGTGCCAATTCTGTTATTGAAAAGGACTCAATCTGATCATTTTTCTAGGTATTGATGGGGTTTTTTCCCTCTTTTAATCAAATTTTTTATTCTGACTCAGCCGACCGTGTCACTCTTCATGAACTAGAAGACATGACTTAGGACAGTGACTTGTGATTCTTTCCCTTAGGGATTTTTTTAAATTAATAATTTAATTGTTTCATTTATAAATGTTCAGAAAATAGAGCAAACCTCCAACCTAAAGTTTACAGAGCCTTGGAACTAAACCTTATGTGGTCTGGGTTACAGTGGAGGCAAGTTATGTAAGATAACAGACATCCTGCAGCTCCTCCTGGGGGAGAGAGTTCCCAGGCCAGATTGTATGTATAATACCTCATGTGTGTTTTGGGTTTGCCCTTAGGTCTCCAGCATCCAGGAGGCATCCTGATTAGATGCTGAGCCACTTAAGCAGACTCCCTTCAACAGTAATTGGCTCCAGTTCTACTTCAATCTACTTCCGGATAGCTGAATTCCTCTGGTTCTCTCTAAAGGTGAGCCCAACCATCCATGTTTTGGTCACTAGCCAAAGCACATGGCCATATGCGAGGGTTGGAACGCAGATCAAGTTGTAAATTGAGAGCTTTATCTACAGGCTTAGCTACCCTCTTAACCACATCAGTTGGCCATGAACCCAATATACAGTTTTCTGGCAGACTTTGAGGTGTTCAGTTGCTAACCAACTAATTTGTTTCAGCACAAGGGTATTAAAACCCTTACTGTGGCAGAGGTAACGATTTGCTCGTCAGGTGACTTACTTCTTGCAGGTGCTGTAGTCAGAGCAGCGGCTCAGCGGCACACGGATCACACAGCTAGAGAATGCCACAAACAGCGCATGATGATCCCGGTCCAACTCAAGACCCAGCACCCTCCTGTCCTCCCCCCGCAGGTTGCATCTAAGAACACAGAAACACCCACTGTCAAGATCAGACATTTTTGATTTGGTTTCCTTTTTAAATCAGCGCTGCAGATGACTGGCACAGTCTGAAAATGTACAGAGAAACCTGGCTGTGAATCGAACTCCATGCAGATTGACTTCACAAGCTGTGCAGTCAGAAAACAAAAGAAGACACAGGAAAAAAGCATCCCCTCAAGCTGTACAGGGTGATGCAAAGTGCTACAATAGACCAAAGAGTGGGTGGTCAGGACAGATCAAGGCAGAACACAGGGAGGAGGAGAGAAAGAAAAGATCAGAGAGAAAGTGAAGGAGAGATACCAAGTAAAGGACAAAGAGAGAAAAAGAAACTGACAGAAAAAAAATGGGTGAAAAGAGGAAAAGCAATTAAGGAAAAACACAGGACGCTTAAAACAGCCCCAACACACACACAAAAAAAAATAAAGACAGATTGTCTGACTTGTTAGGGTTGTAGACGTCGATGTCCTCCAGCAGTTGGGTGCTGAAGGATGCGTTGGCTCCCTCTGTGCTGGCCAAGATCTTCAGCACATGGCCGTTGTCTGAGCCCAGGAAAACCACAGTGTAGTTCTTATATGGCCCCGCAGATGTGTCCACTGCAATCTGGGTCAACTTGAATCTGCATCAAAAATAATTCATATATATATTAAAAAATGCAACTATGTTTAATATTACTTAAAGTAACCCATCCATAGTGAAGGTCTTCTAAATTGAAGCTGCCAATTCACTTCAGACTGAGGTAAATTAAAGGGAGCTAACAATGCCAACGGTGCTGGTTAGCATTCTTGTTTTGTTTTGTCAAAGTCGATTTCCCATGGTAAACAAAACAAACAGTGGGCGAGTACTGAGCTCATTGTATAAAGAATCAGTGTGCAATCAATCACTTCATCTACCAACCCACCATTCCCTTCCTCCATCGCCTACATCCTTTAATCCCTTTATCCTATTAATTCATCTACCCATCCACCCACACCAACTCAATCGATCCCTCCTTGTTGTTTAGCAACAACTAACTTTCCTCAACACACTGCAGTCTGTTTTTGAGTCCCAGTTTTCTATTTTTTGTTTGTACCCCAGTGAACTGTTGTTTTATTAGAAGCACCACCCTGCTTCACATTCATCCCGCTCCACAGTCACACCTGGGAGCTGCCCAGTATCACCACAGCCGTCTCCAGCTGGCTCCACTGGGGCAGTTGAGGATTAAGAGCTGTGCTGAAGGGCACCTTGAGTCCAGTGGTTGTTGACAGAGGGATAAGCTTTACTCAGTCATTTTATCTCGCTGCATTTTTTGTTCTCTGGCCGTGGGATTTGAACAAACAAACTTCCTCTAATAAACCCAGTAATTGTTTTGGCATCACATCCCTTCTAGAAGGACACCAGCAGCAGCTCCTGTCCCCTCACCTCTTCCTCAGTGTGTCCTAGATGGTCCCAAGGAGGGTGACGTGTTTACCCACATGGACTAGACTAGCACGTCTCCGCAATGACTCTGTTGTATTGCGTGATGCGCTTCTGGTTAGATTTCATTTATCTAGCCTCTCTGGGGAGAGGCGGGGCAGATGTGATGTTTTTGGCGCCAGATGCGAAGCGGCGCATGTTTCCCCAGTGTGGAGCCGCTGCAGTGTCTGGCTGGCTGTCAGCCTGGTTCTGCATCAGGAGGCTTGGAGGAGGCTCTGTCTGTGTGTGTGTGTATAGCTAAATCTGTGTGTGTATCTGCTGTGTGTACTTCTAGGTCTGAGGTTTATGCGGTACTGTCTGAAACACTTGTGACACCAGCAATTCAACATTCATCCCGTCATCATCTGATATACCTGGATTCTCAAATGTCACAACACACACACACACACACACACCAGTGACTTCCTCACTTCCATGTGAGCTGCAGGGGAGTGTCTGCAGGTTGGGTCAGTGCTCGAGTTAGACCTCCTCCCCGTGCGGCCTGTGTTTGATGTGGCTGAGATCGACCGTTGAACAAATCCAATGGGTATTAATGAGGAACACGGATGTGTGTTCCACCTGAGCTCACTCATCGATACCAATCACAGCTCCGCGCATGGAAACACTGCTGGTACATTATGTTGCTATTGAATATAGAAAATAATACCTGCATACTAACCACTAAAAGAAAAGAGCCTGACATTTTCTCTTCAAGACCTGTTTTATAACTGCAGCCTGACTGAACAGCAACACGGACATTCAACTAATGGTTGTGTTTTTATTTGGTTCAATGAAGATGTTCTCCAAGTGAGCATTTGAAAAAGAGTTCTGCATGTATGATGTCTAAAGTGGTACATGGTTCACTAGTTTACGTCGGTTACATTTGGAAAAACTACCATAAAGTTGGAAAATACTGTGGTTTTCAAACTCCGAATATATTTTTGGAGCTGAAACAATGAATTTATTAATTGTTTAGATCAGAGGTCACTAATAGGCGGACCGCCGTCCTCTCCGGACCGCCGACCTACAGCACATTTATTATTGAGACTTACTACCTCGTGACGGAGCGTTTCTATTTTAACCCGCGCAGCTTTTCTAGCATTTACTGTACTGGTTTAGAGGACCAGGAAACTCACAGACCAATCGCATGTGCTCCAATCGTCTCATGTGACGCTGCTCAGCCAATCAAATCTGTGCATACCGATGCTTGCGAGTCGAGTCCGCGAGATTCACCAGAGACGTTTTGGAAACACACCCGAATTGAGGGGACGAAAGATAAAAGAGATTTCACATGACTTTTAATCACGAATGTACAGATTTTTACATGTACATTCCTCCCACGGGCAGTTCAAAACCAGAATATCTCATAGATCTCCAATATGCTAGCTGGAGCTCACGTTTCTCACTGAACAACAGAAAGTAGGAAAATTAAAGAGAAGAGGAGGCGTTACAGCTGTTCATTTGTTATGATGTGTTGAGTGTTTATTATAAAATTGGTTAAGACTACACTTCATCACTTCAAGCTACACTTTTTATTACATTTTTTCTAAAAATTAGGCACTTTAGTTTACTTAAATTTAGAATTTATTATTTGAATAGTTATTATCCCTCCAGTTTGATGTGAAAACTGACTGAAATATTATTTGATTTGACAGTCAGTTGTTGACTAAAAACATGTGTTGATATAGGTTATAGCACTGAATGATAACGCAAGTTCGTCGTTTTGATGTTCCGGACCTTTGCTTCAGGAAATTTTCTCTAACTAGACCTCTTTGAAATCTAATTGAATACCACTGGTTTAGATGATCAGCAGAAATCTAAAATGACCAAATAATTAATCTATTATTCAAAAAGATAAATGGCAGATTAATTGATAACGAGAATAATTGTAATAATAATTGTAGCCCTACAGATAGAGTGTGAGGAAATGTGGGCTATAACTATTGATTTATTAACAGCTAATCTCTTAATTATTTTTCGATTAATCAGTTCTACAAAAATCCTCATCGTAAATCCCCAGATTTTAACGTGAGCTTCAATTTACTTGTTTTGCTTGTTTTTCTCTGACCAACAGTCCAAAACCCAAAGACATTCAGTTGATGCAAAACAGAGAAAAGCAGGGGGCTGGACTCAGCGTGTGTTGAATGTGTCAGCAACATACTTGCTGTCTGTCTATATACATTTTACCCACTGAAGGTCTAAGTACTGAAACACAGGTGATGGAATTAGTACCTACAGTGTGCTGGGTTTCTTTGCCTCTTCTCAGACAAGGCAAGTTAACAATAAGGGATGAACAAAATCTATTCCATCACTTTTTCATCTGTTCCTTTTGTACAAATCCCATACCTGCTCGTGGTACGTGTGAAGTAGGGTCTGTCGTTGACCGAGGGAACGGCCTCGTCCATCAGCGGGTACGACTTGATGAAAGTCAGGGTGTCGTCAGGGAAAGTGGTGGACGACTTGTAGGCAGTTGCTTGGCCCTCACCCGCGCAGCATCCCGGCCTGTTCAACAGCAGCAAATAAAAAAATAAAAAATCAGGAGTGAATTCAGTTCCACCAGCACAGATGTAAAAACACTGGCAGCTGTTTTTTTTTGGGGGGGGGGGGGGGGGGGTGAGCAGGAGGGAAAACAGGTGTCTTGTGTGGCTGCTTGGTTTTTTTTTGTTCCGAGATGTCTGTGCAGAACAATAACAGCAGCAGCTGCAAAAACTCAATTGTCAGAGGCAGAAAAACATGTTCTTGGAAAGTGACAGTTTGCTATTTAAAGAAATGTCTCTTACCTTGGTTTTGGGACCTGCTCCTCTGGAACAGGTGTCCACGCTGACTCACTGTTCCTTTGCTCTTTGAATTTGCCACTGAAGGCTTTCTCTATGTCGTCCATGTAGAAAGCACAGACTGCTGAGCCGGTGATGCTGTAGAAGGGGCCACAAAGGAAGATGACATCACAAAGAACGAGACAAAGGTCTGGAATTCAGCACCTCTGGCACAACCTCTGTCTTTTTATAAAGGTGAATTCAGCATATACTGATGGGTTGAATATATGATTTCATTTATTATGTGATTTGTTGCCTGTATTTGCCTTTTCTTTTACTGTTTGCCTTCAATATTTTCATTCTTTTTAAAGCACTTTATAACCTTGTATGCCATGCAGTCCAACGCATCTTATTCAGCAGCTGACATAGGAAGCAGTGACAGTGACTGCAGCCCCCCCCCCCGAGTCTTCACCTCAGCAGACATCCTACAAGTTCTAGAGCTCTACAAGTGTATGAACTGTAAACATAGCTTAGTGATGCTCCAGCAGATGCAGCAGAACACTGATTGACACCCAACTACTAGCTTACAAGTAGTATTAGAGGTATGAATGTTGTAGTAGTTGAACTACTATTAGCATGGAGGCAACATCATAGATTTTAGGACCGCAAAAAACATTATAGATTTATCCGTCAATTATTTTCTCAATTAATCAAATTATTGTCTGGTCCATGAAAAGTAAAATCAACTAATCAACTCAACATGTCAGCTCTAGTTTCTTCTCCAACATTTTCTGGGTCTGGAATTACTGGATTTTTGACCAGGATCAAGTTATAGTGTAACAAACTGTCAAAAATGTGGATTACATGTTAAGTTAATTAATCAATTATAAAATACAAATAAGAAAAAAAATAAAAATCAATTAACAGTTTGTGTAGTTATAGAGCTTCACTTATTCTTAACCACCCTCTTCAACATATCAGTCGGTCATGAACCCAATATAGAGTTTTCTGGTAGACTTAAAGGTGTTCATATAGTTACAGTTTGTTATAAGTTTGGAGCTAGGACTGTCATGAGATCAGACAATACAGGTGTGGCAACTTACATAAAAGATACTTCATCAAGGAAAATTATGACACCATCCAGAGTACTACCACTGAGTTCCCTGTATTAATAAATGTCTTGACTCCTTTCTCCTTAAAAAAACAAACCAAACATGTTACTGTGAATAGACAATAACATCTGATCCCAACCTGTTTGCCTGTGTGGTGAAGACGCCGAGCACGGCCGGCCGGTGGTTGATCTGCAGCACGTTTGTCAGCGACTGCAGAACATCGAAGTAGAAGAAGGAGTCGCCCGGGACAGAGCAGTTTAGCCGGGCTTTGAGAAACGATGTCCAGTAACGTTCCAGCACCCTCGGTGATCCGCCATTATCATTCTTACAAACACGTGCAACTCTGGAGAAAACCACCTGATGGGACGGGAGGATAAAATCCCTTACAGTTGACAACTCCAATTTAGAAATCATGTTCACCACAACAATCTCAGGCAGAGCCGACATGGAATGTCAGTAAAAAAATCTTGTAGGCATGCGATTTGCATGGGAAGTGATGTTGTTCGACTTCATTCGTCTAAAGTACAGACACCACAAGTCTAATGAGTTTTTGGTCTGAAAGTACACTCTCACCTTGCCAAGACTGGTGTACTCCACTGCGATCTCGCTGAAGAAAAAGTACACATAGTTCCCGTACTCAATAGCGTGGAGGAAATGGGGCTCTGTGGGAGACAACAAGAAACGATATGTGACAAACACGCTGGCGGTGATGCCTTATTTCCAACATTAAAGTGCATTGTGAGCAATGGAGCAGTGGTAAACAGAGATGCTCAATTTGGAAAATAGGGGCAAGAGAAATGCAGGGTTAGTGTGTTGTCAAATGGAAAATCTGAATATAAGGACAAAAAGATAAGGAGAAACAAACTTACAATAAAAAGATAACATTCATTTTATTTAGATGGTAGAGCTAGCGCTTCAGCGGAGCCGATACGAACACCTTAATAACTAAGCTTAACCCAGAAATGCAGTAATTTAGCATTTTATGGAATGTGAATACAGTATCAAATCCAACTAAAGTTTAAAACCTAAAGATTCAACTGAGAACTGGAGGATGTGAGATCATGCAGTATGCTCACCTCGCAGCCATTTGGAGTCATACTTGACTGTACGCAGAACAGGGCTACTTTCTCCCAGACTTCGGTAAATCACTGCATCACTCGCCAAGAAGTCTGTCATGGTGGCTGAGTAGAAGTCACCACCTGAGAAAAAACAGAATAGATACAGATAGAACAGATACATTGTCAGGTATCATCATTCCCAAGAAAAACCCAATTCTGTGAATGACCTATTTTGTCAAAGGTGACCTTCGAAAAAGAGGCAGATGATAACAGACGTAGGAGAATGTGTCACTTTAGAGAACAACCCGTGTGAACTTTGCATAAATGCAGGGTTTTTCCTGCGTCAAATGTGGTCCCGCCTACACCTCTCGACAAAACTTGACGGATGTCTTTATGGTAAACACTATTTTCTAGCAAGTGTTGCACTTTGTGAATCCCTGTCATTTGTTACAGCAATTGCAGCTGATGTGGTGACGCTGTATTGTTATCAGCACAGTGCACTGGGAAAGATGCTGCAAAACTTTCAGAGACAAAGAAAAGAGCAGTCTGATCAAAACAATCATAAAAGGTAACAAAAACAATTTTTTATGCCGTTCAATGATTTAATATAGTTTTATATGGCCAGCAGGCGGTTAAAAAAGGCTGTTGCAAATGGCAGGTGGCGTTTGTGAACACTGCACTATGCCTCTCTACGTGTGTGACTGAACGCCGTCTGTACAGCGTTGCAGATGAACATTTAATATCCAGGAATTCATATTTACACTGCAAGAGGGGCCATGTGAACGACAAAAGAAAACAAGAGCGGATGTACATTTGATTTGTCAACTTGCTTTTAATTTACTGTGTATATGAACACATTGGCTTTTATTTTGTATTTGATTTAATGATTTAAACTTTACTTTTAATAAAATATGTTTTAACATGATAATTGTCATTTCCTTCATTCATATAAATATTAGAACTCTTAAAATACGTTGCTCATAAAAAGTGTTTGCTTAAGTCAGTGAAAGGCACGGTACACATGCACGTGTGTGAACGAGATCAGGGTGGTACCACCGCCGCCTCATTTTGAGCCAGGAAAAACCCTGTATAAATGTCAGTGGAAACCTGGCAGGCTTAAGTGCAGGTCTGGCTCTCCCTTCACTCTTCCCTGAACTTGACCCCTACATGTTCACAAAGTATCACCTTCCTTCACTGCTATGATTAGTAAAGAAAATCTAACTACAAATCAGAATCCACCAAGGGGCAAATTCAGATTACACCCTGTGATGATTTGATCATTGACATTGAATTACATTTATCCAGAGAGGCTGTAGAACATGTAGTTTAGTCTAATATTATATTTTATATTGATGAATAAAGTATTGAATCAACTCATTGAATCTGAATCCTAATCCTCTAATGCAGTGGTCAGCAATAGGCGGCCCGCGGGCCAGAACTAAGCATCCATAGGTTTATGAATGTGGATCAAACGCTGGGACGCGCACGCAGGCACTTTATGGTGAGCAAAATATCCTTATAATCAATTTGTTTAACAAAGCAGAAAAAAAAATATCCGCAGTATGTTGGGATCGATCATACAACCCCCACAACGGGAGTCCCGCACACTACTGACTGAGCTAAACGTGCACAAGTTCTCAGACTATGTTGTGGCCCACCATGTAACGGCTTAAAAAAAATTGGCCCGATGCCAGACTTATTTGCCGACCGCTGCTTTAACGTATTTTGCTGTAGATTCAACTGAAGGTATATCTAAATACCTAAAAATTAAGGATTGAGTTGAGATATGTAACCAGCTTTTGTAGGTTGAGAAAAGAATATTAAATGATTTTCTTTTATCGTACATCTTTGTATTCAATGACCACATGTCTGAGATAAAGGAAAACATAAAACATGTTAAGTTCTGTACAAATCATTTTTACTTTATATCACAGTTAACTATTTTGCAAACCCTTTTATAAATCCCTATTTAAGAAGTAAAAATACCTCCTTACAGACATACAACACTTAATATTCAGTGGTGAAATTCAAGACTGCTGCATTTTCAAATTTGGTTTTGATTGGCTCTCCCCACTAAACTATTAAAATCCATCCAATCATGCGAGACTGCAGCGCTGAACGGATGCATCATAAGGCAGGTTAGCTTTATTTCGACAAGCAAGCATATTCAGAGTAAGGTTTAGTGATTGTTTTACCTGTGGACGTAATCTTACTTCAGTAAATGCTGGTTTAATTTAAAAAAAATATAATGAAGTGCATTTCTTCAAGCCTTACCTATTTAAATTCAACAATAAACATCCAGAAATCTAATCACCACCAGAACTTTAAGGACACATTGGGAGGACGAGTGACACAGGCCAGCAGCTGTGGGAGTTGAACTGTGACATTTCAGTTACTGGACAGTCTCTAAAACCACTCACCTGCAAAAAGGCCAACATTAGACTGGCGGGACTCGAAGGGACATCGAGCCTGTCCCACCACCTCCTCCCCTTCCTGCTCCAGTGTCGACATCTAGGTAAGACAGAACACAGTACAGAGGAATATTTTATAAGGCAATATACAGAATTGTGATAGAAAAATTGGATATAAATGACAGAGTGACAATAGTAAACACGAAAAATCATCACTGTTTACACTTATAAAGCTACGAGGTCACCATTGGTCCGACCACAAAATTGATGAACAGTGAGAATTGTGACTGAATGCAAAGGACGTGTACCAAAATCTATGTGTGATTGTGAAAGGCAACACATGCATCATAAAGATTAGTTTTATTTGATGTGTTGTATGTGGGTCGGGTCCATAAAAGATGTGTGTATGTGAAGTCCTGCTGTCATGAGCAGAGTGGAGAGCGGATATTTAGCCTCTTATTTTCGGAACTGCTGTTAACAAGATTGTAAACCTCATGTACGACAATAAGCAAGACCCAGCGTGGTGTGTGTGTGTGTGTGTGTGTGTGTGTCGGGGGATGGGGGAGTGGAGGTTGAATGCATGCAGAGCAGATTCAACACCCTCTGTAGCAACAAGGTGACTGGAACACACACCCGCGACATTAACGGTTCATAAACACATGGCTGGGTTTATATGATGCTGTGTCGCCTGACACAAGCAGTGCATTTCACTGGTGCTCTATTGTTATTCTGTGAACAAGCTCAAACGTTACTGTAAACTCTGAATACTGAGATCATATGTGTGGAGTGAACACTTACACAACCATCAGGGTCATCACAGCAAATTAAACTGAAGCTATTCATTATAAAGAAATGTTTTCAGCATGTCATTTAATTATATGAAATAAGGATTATCAATAATGTCATTGTATACGTGATGTGCATCATGCATTATCCGGGTTTTTTTTTGTCGTTTATGTTTTGATTATGGCCTGCTAAGTGACTTCAGATGCATATTTAGCTATCCAAGTATACAGTATGTTTGTATTAGTATGCGTGTTAAAATTCTCTGCTAAAACTGCAAAGAAGTTGAGATATCACAACAAAGATCGGTAAGGATTTAGCTGCATACATAGGTTGATGGCTTCTTCCATTCATGGTACTTCATTCAAGACATTATTAATTGATGCATCATGGAAATGTCAGTTCAGACAAGGATTTATCTAATTATATATCCATCTCAAATAAGGGGGCACAGGATTAATGGCTGCTCTGTGTACCTGTAGCAATATAACCATCCAGTGGAGGAGAAAATAAGCCAGTCAAAACTTTACAATAGAACGTAAACTCTGCATAACTGCTCCGTCATGTCTGTACAAAAAACACTTAAAAGGGCTATTTGAACCTGATGCAATCCAACACAACAACTCTTCCGTGAATTTCACTTCTATGAAGCTTCATTTATTGTTCAGGCTCTAGTTTTTGTTGTTGTCGTGATGACCTGCATCATTTTGCAGAGGTGCTGTTTTATTTTTAGATCTACCTCCTGTTTAGCATCAAAGTTGCCATTTTGTTAGATTTGGTGAAAAATGCTTTTCACAAAAACATCAATAAAAACCACATAAGTGTAGTTCAGAAAGTGGCAAAGACTAAGTGCTTTTAATGTGTTTTCCACTTGGCTTTTAAACAGGAAGCAGACACATGAGGAGAAAGCAAGAAGGAAACATGACCCAAAAAATATTTGACCAAGAAAACACATGGCAGCATGGTTCTCAGTCTTATTTTTTTATTTTATTTTTATTTATGGCTGACAAATGCCTATAAAAGGGAAAGAACTAATATTTTTTCAATAGGACAAGGGTCCCAAGGGGCTAATTGTATTCTATGACTAACCAAAAAATTTATTCATTAAAAAATAATGATATTTCTCCAAAATAAACTCGAGCAATTTTATCCTGAACCCAGTTGAGTTACCAAAAAGCTACAAGAAATCAATACATACTTATTCTGCTGATAGATGAGGAATATCAGCAGGATTGCAATCATGGTTGAGAGTACCATCCAGTCTCTAATCAGTAATGAGGAAATTTGTACTCTACAAATTAAATTAAATTCTGTTTGAAATCTGATTAGAAATCAACAGTATTGACTGGACTTCTCGCCTGCAGAGCGACATCATTTGAAGTAAAACAGCAGTTTGTTAATCACAAGAAACAGACCTCAAAAGTCAGAGAGAACTCAGGATTCAACAAAGCTGTGTAGCGACTGCAGGATCGTTACCCCAGTGGGCAGATGAAGACAGATGGATTTGACGCTTCAAGGTTTTGTTGTATCACAAATGCATGTTGAAGACAGCCTCTCTGTTCTCTACAGAGCAGCTGTCTCAGCAGTCTGGTCAGTGAAGCTGCATGTTCATAGCTGGGCATCCATTCATATCTTTGACCAGCACACACACACACACACACACACACACACACACACACACACACACACACACCTCTCACTCAATCCCCCCTTGTCCTCCACAGATTTTTTCATGGAGTCCCAGAGACTGATTCCTTGATATGATTTACACTTCCTCCCTCTCTCCCCAGCTGTCTGGATAGTCATCTCTTGTACGTGTTTTTCCAGACTAGGGAAAAAGTTGAGGGGAGGGGGGGACACAGCTGGGGGGTTGCAGAGAGAAAGAATGTGAGGATGTGTTTTGTGTACACCAGTTTTTTTTTGTTTTGTTTTTTTTAACACTAAAGGACTTCTGTGGAAGGGAGACATTTTACATCAATCTCACTCCTGTGGATTAACCTTTGCACATACTCTGAAGCCACGAAACGAGACTGTGCAGGTTCTTTACGACACCCGAGACATGATTTGATCCTGGAAAGTATTTAGGTACTATGAGTCTATTGGGATGCTGTACTTAGTCCAAAAGCCCCCGGACTAAACTGGGCAATAAGTCAATATCATCAAACATTACATTTTGGTTTACATATCATTAACTAATTACAATGTCATTGATATAATCCTCCTTGGAAAACTATGACCTGGATGACACAAATAAATATCTTGTGGCGTTAAAGTTAGAACAAAGCCCCTTTCAGGCTTGACACATCCACTGTGTGAAAGGCTTTTAACACCGACCCCTGAGAGCTACTAACCACTATATCAGAGTGATACTCTAGCCTTTCCTGCTCTGCATTAAATTCAATTATCATATATATTTTACAAACATATATTATCCTACTTGCTTTTTCCTGGTTCCCTTTAAGGTTGTTGAGTGTATTTATTTGCTGTTTTTCTAATTTGTTTTTAAATGCCATTTCATCTAATTTAATTAATTTTGTTTATTCTCAAATAAAATGTTTGCCTCAATTCATTTTTCATCATTTATTTGCTTCTATTTGTATTAAATGTGCTTTAAACCTAATTTTATTATTGCTGTTTGTGGTAGCTGCAATGGGAGCTTGCAAGTTTTTTCATGTCAAGGACAAAATTACTAACTCGCATTACATCACAGATTCAGAGGTTTTCCAACAAAATCACATAACATCTATACTATTGCCTTTTGTATTTTGCTATCCACAGTTGGAACAACATGATTTTGTCAATCCCTTTTCACTGAGTAAACCTTTAAATAACTCAGGACTTTACTGGGCACTTAATATGAAACAATAGAAGGTCCCTGGGTTCTCACCCTCCCTGACCCCTTGACACTGCCCACTGGGTAGGTCACAGGGCAGTGCACTGGGGGAAAAAATAGTGAAATGTAGAGTCTTTAGTTTCTCAGCTCCCCTTTGCATTTCTGTGTCCCACATACAGTTAGATTTACAGTCTGTGCTGTAGGACTTGTACTCCCCTCCTCCTCTAATGGCCTGCTGTGAATCACAGTGCAATCCTGTGATGTCACCTCTGAGGCTCCAGAATAATGTCATGTTGGGTTTTATTCAACAGACCTCAAACTGTAGCAGCTTGCATTGTCCTTGGTATAATGTTTTCACTTAGCCAGCAGCTCTCTGCGCTGTTATTCATCACTGAAGCAATAGAATAACCACAGAGACCATGTGCAGCAGAGAGCCTCATCTACTGGCATAGATTTGTCTCTTGACCCAGCTCCCTTTTCCCTCTTGTCTTCCCACTCCTCAGCTTCTTCCTCTCATTTCATCTCCTCCTTCATCTTTGTTGTTTCAAAAGGTGTGAAAGAAGCTGTTTTATTACTGCCATCATCAGCATAGCTAGTGTTCTGTCAACAGATTGCTCTCTCTAAGTTGTCGAGCCAACAAATTATTCCACGAATATTAATGGATTTAAGTCACCTAGTGATGTAAAACACAAATCTGCCAACATTCAGTGACCAGATCAGCTACTGGTATCTGATTGTCAAGTATCAAGTATATATGACTGTTGGTTAGTTTCAACTTATGACCACTTCATTATGTTCAACTGTATAAAATAAATATAAAATAAAGGACCTTGAATTCCATTATCATTCTCTGCTATCTATTCGCCTGTAGGTTGAATGTCTTGCAATATATGTGTATAACGAACTTGCATGCAGCAGTTTTTTTCACTGATGAACTCATATGTTCTGTGTGAGACTCTGTGACCTGTGTTTGACATTATATCCCTGATAATGACACTTTCACAAAAAGCCAGCGTTGGTGCTAATGTGATACACATTAAGTTTGCTTAAGTTTGTTGAGTTCGTTTCTCATTCACATTAGCAACTTAAAAAAAACGGGATACAACTGAAATAGCCCATAATGACCGAACCAAAAACATCTCTTAAAAGCTGTTACATGCTCTTTTACAGACAACGGAGGCCAGGAGGCAGCACACAGCACTGCAGTATGTTACCTTATAGTTACGGCAGGTGGGGTTAAAGGCGTTGGTGCCGCAGGCAAAAAGCGTCTCGTCGTTTCGTGGCACCAGCACTTTGATATAGTTGTAACATTCGTCCTGTCAGGAGGAAAAGAGCTTGATGTTATTGTACATTAGGGACCAGGTCCGTGTTGGCTCCTGGTATGCCAACAACAGAATAAAAGCAGGATTTGCAGCAGGTAGACAGTGCATTTTACTGGCTCACACACACACACACACACACACACACACACCCTTCTCTGTGTTTTACAGTCATTATCATAATCCCCTGGCTGATTCTTGTGGTCTCACTGTAGCTCTGGGGAGGAAAATGCAATGCCTAAAGCACAAGTCTGTCGTCTCCTGACGGACATGCCACTGATTATGATAAGCTACCTGCACACCTTCGCTTATTACAAAACTTCATCGATGGCGGAGGCAAAGGAAGCGAGCGATAAGAGTGAGAAAATGGGGAGGTAAGATGTGCATGTGTCTGGAAGATAATACTCACGCTGTTTTTCCCTCTCACAGTGCACTTCTCCACATCCTTCGTCTTCCAAGTCAGTTTCTGAAAAACGAACAGACAGCCAACTGTCAGCTCAAAGACAAGCCGTTTCTCACCATCCCAGCTTTTGTTACTCCCAATCATTCAAGGACTATTGCTAGACAGCTGTGATGAAAGTCTCATTTACTTCAATAAATTGTCGTGAAGTAAAACAAACAGAGTTAAAGCTAAAGGCAGTGCTGAACGAGCCCTCGCCTTCACGTGCGCCTCAGTTGGAGCAACAGCTGCGTTCTGAACACCGGAGGTTGACTGACATGCCTCTGAATCTGAGTTCAAACATGCCAAGTTTGCTGTTTAATGGACGATGTATAGTTTAGTTACAACAGCATCCTACTTCGTGGTGGAACATACAGATTGTCTGCCTTTTGTTTAGAAATAAAGCAGAAATCCAAGAACATGTTTTTTTCTAAAGGACATTTAATTTAAAGAGAGAGATTATTAATATTTATAAAAGAACACTTAAGTTTTGGTAACATTTCATTTTGAGGCTGCAATACACACAAATAAGACACCCTGAGGTTTTAGGCAGTACAACAAGTACTACTAGGACTGAACCCCCGAAAGTGTCCCTTCTATCAGCTCGTCCTGAGATCAAATAAACAACCTCTGACCAGCACTTCTTTCCACCCATTAATCAGAGTAACTTATTTAATTAACAAATCACTGCAGAACTTTTTCCACAAGTCCTAACGTATGTGCATCCCAGCCCCTTCAAAAAGATGCTACAAGATGTTACAAAAACAATAACCATCTCACCACAAACAGTAGGTTCTGGCCCTGGTACTTTCGTGTTCGGGCCCTAAATATGAGGAATGCCTGCAGCTGCCAGCGCAGCTCATCAGCGGGCAGCTAAACAATGTCTGGATTTGTGAGCGCACACACACACACACACACACACACACACACACACACGGGAATCTGCAGAGGACGTTTGTGTCACTTCATTGTCCATTCGAGGTCGCAGTCAATTAACTCTAATTAACCTACTGGCCAAAGCTCTGCCCTTAGTCTTCACACACCACAACACACACTTCCTGTATCAGTGCTAGTAATCCAGTGGACTATTACAGAAAAAGATCCATCAACTTGTTAACAAGTTGATGGTTTAATGTGCCCTCTTCCATTTACAGGCCTGAATTTTCTCAGAGTTTGTAAATACCACAGAGGAAGCTGGTTGTTGTGTACACTTCTGCTCTCCTCACAGTATTTGAGTAGACAGGAGCAGATGTATCACTCTGACATGTCATCACTTAGGCCTAGATATTAAGGGATGGCCTCTCCAAGCAGTAGCAGTGTGACCCCAAAGAGGTCTCGGTTTCAGCCACTTTTGAATGTCAACTCTGCCATCTCCTGCACAACAAAAAGTTTCAACTTTACCCTGTGCACTTCAGATGGTCCATCTTTATACTCTCTTTTACATGTATAAAGGTTACTTTCTTGACATTCAGTCTGTATTTGTGTTAACACAAAGTTGTTTGAACATTTCTGAGATGAATCGATGAGATATTTAATTCATCTGTGTGCCTTTTACTGTATGAAAAAAACAAAAAAACAATAGGATCCTAGTCCTATACAATACGCTGAAATGTATTGCACAAAGCTGGAGAGACGAGTAAACTTCTTTTTTGTTTTTGCTATTTAGGTCTTAAATTTTACTCAAGGTGTTCTCAACTACAACCTCACACTAAGTCACCCTGTGGTATAATACATTTTGATGCCTTATTGGAGCAGAGGGGTCACTCCGCTTGGACCATAAGTCCCTGAAACACAATTTGTCCCACATGCTCCTTATTCTCTTGTTCTCAAGGCTGGTTTTCCATTATGTCAGATGGCTTTCGGTCCAGCAGTCCAATCAGAAACTACTTAGAACAGGTGAACGAAATCTAACACACCTGGTAAACGGCAGGTAAACAAGAAAAGTAGCTCTTGCTGAAAAAGAGATATGCATCTTAATGGTGGAGGGTGTCCTGCTTTGCATGTTCGAAAACAGCATAACTTAATTCCCACTGCACACAGTATGATGAATGCCTTATAGGATTTTTCTATATTTTTCTAATTATTTCAAATCCCTTGATAAGGCCAAAACTAACAATGTGTTAATGATTTTCTGACTTCCCTATCATTTCTGTGACACTTAGTAATTTCCTAAAACACCTGGGCACTGTAGATTTTAAATGAACATGAATGGGTTTCAGCAGTATGTGGGATCGACTCAAACTAAAGGGGTTGTATTTACAGATTTTTTAACAAAAAGATGAATATAGAATTTTGCCAGAGTAATCCTAAAATGACCTCGACAACATATTACTTTAAATAAGCTCAGTCAGTGTAGTGACGACTAATTTATCAGACATTTTCTGAGCAGTATAACAGACTCTTTGTCGTCTCAGATTTTAAAGCCAGCACTCTTCCCTCCAGGTCCATGCATAGAACATCTCTGGAACGACTTTGTGGAGATTTGATACGTTTCAGCAGGAGTCAGCATTATGGTAATAGACCCTGCCTTGTCCACGCTCCATTCGGTTTACTAATAATTACTTACAGTATGGCCACCCAGGCCTGGGGAGATCAGTGAAGGGGAGAATGTGAAAGGGTGGCCATGAAAAATGAAGAGCTAGTTTAAAAATGAGCCAGAGTAAAGGAATGGATCTGTAATGAAGAGGACGCACCCTTTTCTGGCGATATGAGTCAGTCACAGACTAACGACCGAGCTCAGATGGATAGTGTGGGATAGCAGAATCTGGGTACAGTCATCAATAATTTTCCACTCAGTTCCTGCTGTCACACTGGAGGCGGGAGAGGTTTGGGTGAATGGCTAAAAAATGCATCATATAAAATACATTCAATATCTAAGTTCTACAATAACACAACTGAAAAAAGACTGACCAACATTGTACTGCTTAGAAATTCCCATTTCTTCGTGCAACAGTCTACACCCAAATCAATAGTTTAGATCTCCTTGACATGAAGTGGTGGCCTTATCAGAATGTTTAGTGCTAATCTAAATACAAGCAAACAAAAGTCCAGGCCTTGGAGGGCTTTTATTTAAGTGCAATCATGTTTGACAAATGAGATTCAGAAAGGAGGGAGCATGTCACTTCAAAAGCCACAAGAGCCCCGCTCCACTTGTATTGGATATATGTCTAAAGAGAGATTGCTTAATACTTGAATGAAAAGGCAGGCAAAGAGTAGAAAGGAAAATAATGAGATACAAACATTACATGGGATATTTTCCTAGAAAAACAGTGTGGTTTAGAGAAACAAGAACAGAATTGCTGTCTAAAGAGCAATGCCTTGCATTAAACTTCTCCTTTAGGACATGTAGAGGACTATATATCATCCGAAATATCTTATTGACAAGCAGCAGCGTTGTGGAAGAATTTCTTTAGGTCATATCATATATTTAATGACCACAGAATCCTAAAATCTATTTTAACATTAATCGTGGAAAATGTCAAGTAAGGCTGGGTCATTTAAAATCTCTATTGGTAACTCACAGATTATTGGTATTGATTCTGAAGGATCAAGATGTTTTAAAACTCTCCCTAAATGTCAGACTCTTCCAGTAAGAATTCATCTTGGATGCGAGTTTTTGTGTTGAGGAAATGAACACACCAAGGTCCAGTTTAGAAAGCAGATGGCATTTGTAAGCTACACATTAAACACAGTAAATACGTTAATATCGACTCAAACGCGTGTATTAACAAAGGTATATTTATAAATATTTTACAGAGCACCAGCAGAACATTTTCAGTCATGACTGTAGACAGACTTTCCTACCTGCTGTGGGATTATCTGCTCAGATGAAGTAGCAAGATTGATGGCAAACACGTGGTCTCTGCAAGAGACAGAGTCAAGACACCATTAGTGGAGGTATCTCCACAAGCTTTTTGTCAGCATTTATGCTTTTTGAATGCAAAGCTCCATAAGCCTCTGATCCAACCACTTCAACAAAACCTGAAGATTCCAAAAAATGCTTCTTTGCTCAATAGGATGGATCAAAGCTGTTCAACAACAGAGAGTGGAAGGTGGATTAAAAGGCAAAGTTTATTGGCTTCAGACTGCAGAACCTCACAAAAGTTTTCCAACACCAAAAGTTCCCTAACCCACACAACCCAAATGAATCACTTTGTGAAGTGAGGCATGCACTTTGTTGTATGCAGCTGTGGAAAATATTAAGTCCATTTAGGTACATTAAGAATCTCCATACCTTTTTGGATGGGGTTCTTGGCAGTGAGAGCACTGCAGTTTGAGACAGAGCCAAAAACTGTAGTAGATTTTTTTTTGCACAATGAAAATAGAAAGAGGAGGTACAACCTCGCACTTTTAGTTAATTAACCTACAACATCTTGATCAAGAGGGGAGCGACGTGCTACTAGGCTGAGAGATACACAAGAAAAACATGAAACATGACAGTAGTTTGGTGTGAAGGTGCTTCCAGGGATCCCTTACACACTTAAATAACTAACTAACTAAATAAATAAGAATATATAAAAAAGTACGTTGTCACATTCATGGTGTTCTTCTTTTTTCTTGTGGTTTCTGTAAATTTGTTGTTTTACAGTATTTACTGTTATCATGATGTTTTCTGTTGTCTTTTGCCAACTGTTTGCTAAAATTTTTTTTTACCTCCCTGCTTATGCCATTGCACATTTTGTTCATTTTTCTCCCCCACATCCCTTTTGAGTGCATATTTTTCTGTTGCCCATCTACCTCAGTCTAAATAAGAACTGAACTGACTTTATGTTTTATTTACTTTAATGGATATATAAAGGTGAAACAAACAGGATAATCCATAATTAAATGGATACTTCAGGTTTTTTTGGCTGCTGACAAAGCTATGTAGGAACTCAACTGACAAAGTTTTGGGCTCTGTTAGATAATGATTTTTCCCATTAATTAATTAATTAATTAATTAATTGATTGAAGTATCCAATTAATTAATTAATTAAAAAGTAAAAAAAATAGTCATTGGACCCTTTGTGCAACCATGCATATGTATTCACATGAAGCAGCGAAGTGGTGACGACTCACCGGGCAGCAATGTAGAGCACATGGTTGATCCTCAGCATCCTCTGGAAGTCCAGGCCCAGGCGGACAGTGTCATTGTCTGCTATGAGTCCCTGGAAGCTGGGGTAGAGGTAGGAGGCTGCGTGGGCAAAGAGATTGAGAGAACAACAAAATGTTTCAATACTCATGAAACCAAAATATACTAGCTTGGTCCTAGCAAAGGTTAGAAAACCCAAGACTAACACATTCTGTCGCTTTGAGCTCTTGTTAAAAAAAATTTTTTTTTTTCAAAAATGGAAAAGAAAATCCAAAACTGACCTTAACAATTACAAATAATAAAAATATTAGTCGACTGTTTACAGCGCAGACCAGCTCTGTCAGTTTCACATTTGTAAAGTTTATAGGACAACAAAGGCTTAACATTTATCCACAACAACATCAGCAGCTTACAAAAACATTAAACCTTTGTAGTTTAAGAAACATTAAACCAAGATTACAATGTAGCCTAGTGTGCTGAAATTCCAGAGCATACACAGTATACTAATGTGCAATTGAGGTGGATGAGCAAAGGAAAAAAAAAAATAGATCCGAAGTTGCAAATTAGCTGGTCCTGTCACAGATGTCAGTCTGTCTATATAAATGGCTCCTGGTAAACATTTCATATCACATCGACACACCTGTGGACAGTGGCAAGTGAAAACAAGGAAACAAATCAAAACTATCACAATGGAAAATCTGTCCGTCTGACCAACCCACATTCAAATAGCACTCGTCCGTCTCTGAGGTCTTATAAGTTCAACTTAGTGTCGTCATGAATACAACTTAAATTCCTGTTTGGTTGGTGACCAAACTGCCCTGAAAAACATCTATCACAAATGATACAGAGTGATTAAAAAAGACAAAACTATAACACCTGCATTGTACATTAAGTATTCAATTCAATGGCAATCAGGTGTGTTCAAGCGTTAAAAAAAGATGTGTGCTAAAATGCGACAAGATGAACTGATGGATGTGGTGCAAAAAACAAAAAGAAGAATGACAGATATTACCAATTCTTCTTCATCGTCTGAATTCTAATTCTATCTTGCTGTCTTCTACTCAAACAGTAGACTAACTCACTAGAGGGAAACATTAATTAAACAACAGGAGATGGCGTGCAGTACAGAATGACAGCCAGTCAGTAGATGGACATGCCCTGCAAACACATTTGATGAAGAAAAAAAAAAAAAAAAAAAGACTAAAGACAAAAGTATGCTCCGGGCAGGAAACAGAATTGGCCAGCTCAATACTGACACCAGGCTGTCCTCCACATCACAGAGACTTCCCCTGCTGTTTCCATTTTTATTTTTATTTTTTACCAAGCAACAATTCACAATATTCTGGATCTACAAAGTACTGTAGTAAGTGCTCTCCAGCCTCCCATCTGACCTGGTCTGCTGTTGAATTAGCTCTCCCCACTAGAAATACACCACCGTCTGAAATTTGTCTCTCTGCAGGGGGCTGTACGTTTCCCTAACCACTGGTCTCGAATCGACTGTTTGAAGATTTAAACGCCTAATGTCTGGCTGAGCGCTGGACCTTGCTGTGCTGTCTAGTGAAGACTCCCAGTGGCACAGCGGCTCGCCCTACTATCCTCCCCCTGGAAAATGAGGATTTCTAATTACTCTTCAGCACTTTCACATCCTCTAAAGTTTGGGGGAGAGCTGGGACACTGCTCAGGGCAAAATCCAAGAGCAGGTGATGGTGCCCAGAGTTATTTAAGTTCACTGCCTCTGGAAGAACATGTTCGCTGCTGGCCATGGACTGAATCAAGCCAGAATCCTACATCCTTAGGCATTCAGACAGACATTGGCACTACATTAAAAAGTTGAGGCTCTTCATTCACTTCAACGAGACCACCCTGAATGAATGCTTCCAGCCCCAATATTATAGCCTGGCTCACCATTTGCCTTTGCCATTTGTTTCAATGCTTTGCAACTAGAGCAGCAACGATTAAACGATTAATTGTTTAGTCAATCAACAGAATATTAATCTGCAACTATTTTATGGTCTAACGTTCCAAATGTGAGAATTTGCTTCCTTTCCTTGTCTCAGATTATGGTAAAATCTATATCTTTTGGTTTTGGACCAAAATAAATTTTGGCAATATTAAACTTTTTACACTTCATTTATTATGACATGGCTAAAAATGGAATCAATTCACCATTTAAAAGCAGACAGTTACTTTCAATTACTACAGTGTGCATTAGATGGATAAATATGTGATAAAGAACTCCCAAAACTAAAACAAGAATTTCGTGAATGTTTTTTTAGTGTCCTATTATGCTCTAAATCAAAGGTTTATGTTGAGTGAAACTGTCTGATACAGTCATTGGTTGCAACAAAAACTTGAAAAACTTGAAAAACTTTGCAACCTACACATGACACTAATTACACAACCACAGAATGTGGTTTATGGCCTTATTTAGTCAAACAAAGACAAGATGCTGAAGAGAGTCATCTGTCCATTTTCCAAAGAGTAGTAGTGACTCAGGTATGATTTCATAGACTTCAGTCAGATGAAGTGCGATGTACTAAGAACTACGATTCATAATGGACGTCTCACAGAGTTGTGAGGGACCCTGTGTCACCTGCTGGAACCAGAGGTAACAAATGTCTCTCATTATACCTGGGACAGAGCTCCACATATAGCACTATTAGCACAGCTATCTCTGCTAATGGTTGCGTTACTCTCTTCCAGATAGATCAATTACAGTGTCTGGGCCATGGTCTCAGCCACCTCTTAAATCAATTATGGGCCATTACATACAGTAGCCAGGACCTCTTCTGTGGACTTCCCCAGTGATCGTGGGCCATTGATGGATCCCCAGGGTGGTCCGATGAAGCAGTGTCTTGAGAGTGTCATAGACGTTTAAGATCCTCCTCAGTCAAAATCTTAACTGATGGTACTGAACTCTAAAGGTTTTACTAAGCTGTACTCAAATGTAGGACTAGGCCTTCATATGAGCCTTCATGGATGGACATTTAAATTGTATTGTGATTGATGTGTTACTGTTATACAAAATTATAATAATTTTGTCAAAATTAACAGCATTTGTTGTTGACAAAATAGGAAAAAAAAAAGTTCCATTGTTGCCCTTTCAGTACTCCTCTGAGTTGTGTTCATACTGACTCATCACGAATAAAACAACAGGCGCAATCAAAATCACACTGACAGGCAATTAACTCATTCTTTAGGCAGTTTTGGCGACCGTCATTGTGTATCATCAGGATTACATTGACCTGCAGAGGTTTTCACACCAGCCTAAACAAACAAAACCAACCAGGCAACACATCAGAGCTGGATTAAATTGAACCAAACAGGTTAGGAGTGAAAGTATCCTGAAAAGTATTGTTACTGCTTGTCAGATGTGGTGACGAGCAACACTGGGGCAACCCAAGGAACTGACTGTCACTGTTTTTGTTCACGCGCTACACCTCTGATTATTGTGCGATTGTGTCTACTTCGGAATGTTCTCGGGTGACTCCTCCATTGTTGGCTGTATCACAGATGATAAGGAGGCGGCGTACAGAGACCTAGTTGAGAACTTCATCAGATGGTGCGACAGCAGTCACCAATAGCTCAACATTGGGAAAACAAGAGGAGCTAGTGGCGGACTTCTGACGCAGCAGGAAACAAAATATTATCTGCAAATCCTCGCGAGGGGGCAATTCTGCAGTCCAGCAAGCACAGGGCTGTGATGAGCACAAGCTCGACCCTGCCTATGCACTCACAACTTCAGCAAGTTGTCTTGACCATGCCTACAAGCCTAAATGCATTGAGTTGCTGCCATGTGATTGGCTGATTACCCATTTGTGTTAACAAGCAATTGAACAGGTGTAGCTAATAAAGTGGCTGCTGACTCAGTGTTAGATAGAAATCATAAATGTTTATGTTGACTGCTGTACTTCATGAATATACAGAGGAGAGGGAAAAAAGAAGAGAGACTAAAGGGAAATGACAGAAAGTACAGGAGTCTCTGGTTAGTGACCAGTTCAGTCAGCACAGCCCTGATCAATCTGAACTCCATTCAGAAAACAAGCATTTAAAATACTTTTTGCTTGTCATCTTGCAGACAAACCTGATAAAGCATGAAGGCATACTTTTGTATCTACATCATGATGTAGATATTTCAGAATGCTTTTGATCCATTTATTGTAATTAAGTCACAGTAGTAAAAAAGATTAAGGGAGAATATTTACTCGCAATACAATATGAAATACAAATGATCTTGCACTCAAAATCATGAGTAATGGCAAAGTCCTTATAGTCCTGCTACTCAGCAGCCATCTTGGCCACGCCTTCGGGCAGCTATTTCGGACTAACAAGACCAGGCTCCTATCTGAACGAATGGGGAGAGAGCCAGAACTGCACTTTCACTGGTCACCGGGACACAAAAACAAAATGAATAGAATCAGCAGTAAAATCTAATTCAAATCGCTGAAAAAGTTTGATGACTTTGCCCCAAAATAAGGTTTAAAAAGCGTTTTCCCCGACCAGTTATACTTCTACTACGCATGCGTCACCACTTCCACGCATGTGCAGTGGAAGTACAACAGACTAAGTCAGTGGAACCACACGATTGGCTGAAATATGTTTCCTGCTGTGGCTTTGTAGCGGGAGGGACGGGATAACCGCCATCTTTGCCGTTACGGGCTTTCCCCATAGAGTTGTGTTGAGGATTGGTGAGTGTCTCCTTTATAAAACGTCTCTGGTAATGCAAGTCGAAAACGGGGTGAACAATCAAAATCCTTTTTCCTGTACCATAAAAGAACCGTTTAACATTTAGACCCTCACTCCTTACAAACTCTACCTCAGCTTTGACTGAGAAAGGTGTTTTCATGCATTCACTGTACAGTAGAGAGAGACAGGAACGGCAGGGGAGAGAGACATGCAGCAAAGGGCATGGGCCGTACTCAGACACACTGCAGTAAAGACTTGCTATGTGGTATGTGCTCTTACCAGGTAAACTGCCGGGGCGCCCGCTGGTATTGCTCTGTGTTGAAATTGCCTTTTTTTACACCAAGCTAACAGAACAGAACTAAAGGAATGAATATGCCAGCAGCCAAATAAACTTCTGCAAATGTGCTTGCTGCGAACTTGCCCTTAAAAACATCTACCTCTCTAAGCCGTGTTCCCCAGGGATGTGATATAATTCCTTAGCGACCCTCGGTTTACTCTACTCCTGAAACAAGGATCACCATGACAGCACAACAGATTTTCAAACTTACATTCTCTGCCCACAAAGCTGATTGGTTCCAGGTCTTGGGGGAACGGCGTTGCTCCTGAGGACAGCTGAGGTAAGAAGGTGGCTAAGGTGAAAGCCAGGATGGCTGGCAGGACGGGTCGAGGCGAGCCAGGCATTAGCCTCATTTTGGCAGAAGATGAGACCTCACCAGAAACACATGGCCCACAGCAGATTCACCTCCCACCTAAAATGAGACAAAGTTATCAGAGACTGTTAGCATATCTGAGCCATCTTCGTGCTTTAACAACCACACAATGAATACATACTACTAGAGCAAATACCAGAAGGAGTATATTGTAGTACTCCTAAACCTTATTTTGTATTGGGTTAGTAGATCAAGAATCCTCATGGTCATGATAATGGTGCAGCAACTGCGTGACTGAACAATGACAGCAGCAATGTTTAAAGGTGGCAGCGAAGTTCTTATTAGCATGCAATGCCTTATGTCAATGCAGCGAGTGTCCGCTGAACCACCGAGATGCCAGAGTGCAGACACACACATACAAAAGAGGTAGATTGAATCAAAGAGAGTACCAGACACAGGGAGGGAAGCAGCCAGGAGAGGAGGGCCACTGGGGCCCTGATCACTGGGACAATTACCTCATTTACTGCCGTGTCTTTCACGGGTGACTTGGCACAATTATACCCCAGCCTACACTGAGGAGAACACCTCCCTCCTCCTGCCATGACACAAGGCCCTGATGGTAGTGTTAACTACCCAGGTTAAAAGGTTTGTATGTATTTGTGTGTCTGTCCTAGGTGTGCCTGGTATCTCACTTATTACATGCTGGGAAAGGACCCCAACATTATAAGCAGTTTAGATATTCAAGGGCGTATGGTAAAAGAAATTTATGGAGACTAAACTAGCATTTTAACTTGTCAAAGTATATAAAAAAAGTACACAATATGGAAAATAAAATAAAATGAAAGCTAGAAGGCATTCAGAGATCACATATTCCACCAATCCTAATGTGTTATATTAATAATGTTATAATATTAAATATCTAAATAATATAATTTTTTTTTTATCCACATCAAAGTACACAGACAAGGGATGAATATGCCAGGCTATCTTCATTCAAGGAAGTAATTCATGGGTTAAGAAAACCTGATGGACCTTCCAACAAATGTAATTCAAATCCGTTTCCATGTTTTTGAGATATCCTACTAACCTGCAGAAGAACCAACAATCGTGAATAATAGCTATTATTTTTTGCTTTATTTGTTATTTTAGACACTACACATGTACACACAGTACCATCCTTTCAGAAAAAAGGTTGTCTGGTAAACAGGAAGTGATTCATTCTTTTTTAATTACTGAACATATAAGGAAGAATTGGCTTTGCATAATTATAGGAGCAATTCAGTAGCTACACAATGACAAAGTAAGCTACTGATAAAAACAATCTTTGTCTTTCTCTTAACAAAAGATGTTACAATACAAAAGACCGTTTTTGACAAGTGATCTCACACAAATGGAGAACAAACAAAATACAGCAGCAACAGCTTATCACAAAAAGATACAGCCACCTTCATGATTTTAAGTGAGATTACCATCTTCACCATTTTCAATATATGGTTTGACAACATGTTCCTGAGAATAGCTCTTCCTAAAAACATTTATATAAAAGTTGGCAGGGGAAGAGGGAAGGGCAGTGACAGATGGATGGCAGAGGGATATGTCGAAACAAACTTCAAATTACGATGACCAGTGCTCGCCGCCAACTTATTATGGGCAATGTGTCCTCCATTTGGGTTCTTACAAGCCTTCAAGTTTATGTACTGTGTTGCTTGGCAATGAAACTTGGGCCACATGGTTTTAAGTGGGAGCACAAAATAAAGTCTATAGAGACATGAACTGTCATCAATATTGATAATACCTGCTTCATTTAAATGCAAAGGAGAAAGCTGCATTTAGCAATGAGGTCAAGCGATTATCACAACGCCATAAATCGAGGGGAGTGGGCGGGTGTCTGCTTGTGTTTACTTTGTGAAATACAACAGCTTGTGTGGCCTGCCTTAGGCAATATATGAGGACAATATACCTGATGGATTAGCCTCATATGCCATGATTTGGATGGGGTTTTTTTCCCTGCCGAGGAAGACAGCCATTTGAACAGATTATGTTATAGCGGTATTGCTGCAAGAGACAAATCCATAAGAAAATCCCTTAAAATGTCAAAAACATTCAGGGCAGAAATTTATGGTAGAAAGAACGTTGGTCATGTAAACGCTTAAATTACCTGCAAAGCTGTTAAACACAACGCAAAGAGTCCCAAATACCAAATAATCTACATAACTTGTTCACTTCTGACATGAATATGTACAGACAGCTGAAAAATATAAGCCGCACATCGAGGAAACATTATATCCTTCTGAAGAAGGAAGGGAGATATAATTTATTGACAACCTGGGTACTTAGCTAAAGGAAGGCAGCCAGCAGGGTGTGATGATGATGATGCATGCAAAACAAGACAACCATAGTGAGTACAAGAGCTTATGCATGACCAGTTTAATACTCTGAAACTCAAGCCTACACTTCCACTACAAGCCAAGACACACCACACAGGCCCTGCAGTCTCTTGGTGGCTTGATAGGTTCTTGATTTATTATCCTGCAAGCTTTACTCCATTTAAAATAACCAAGTTCGCTTAAGCTACGAGGAAATGCATGATGACAAGAGATGTGAAGGTTTGTCACTAGGCCACATCAAATTCAGGATTGAAGAATTTATTGGCATATCATTACAACACAAATAAAACTAAGTCAGTAAGCAGCACGAGACAGACGTACATGCCATCACTGACACAACGTGATAAACAAACAACCTCCTTTGGCTGCCAGTTCCTGTACAACAGGTTAGTCTAAACTGCCATGGCCCTTAGCCATTTTCCAGAGAGAACCAGTCAAAAAGGGAGTTGGCCAAGTCAGAGTAGGTCTGTCATGACGTAAAAACAAAATGATGAGCCATCAGTCAACTCATTTCAAAATGAAGAGAAATGCAGTGTCAGAATGTGGTACTGCCTACTTTAAATCATGGTGTTATTATTTAAACACAATCTTATTAGTTGTGCAGCAAGGTAAGGTATCAAAGTAACCATCTTATAGACACCCAGCCCTAGTTGACGCATCCCATTTAAAACACAGCATTTTATGGTGTCTCACTAGTTCTGTTTTTGATCTATTTTACTGAGCTGCTGGTAAACGACTATATTCAGCAAAATCTTTAATTTTTTATATGCAACAAAGTGCTGGGTAATTTGACAAAAATGTAACAATTAAATTCCCATTTGAAATGTTAAGGCTCTGATTCAGTTGTGTTCCAGCTCTGACATTGTTCTGAGAGTACAACTAGAGTGAATGGCTGCTTATCCCATTTGACCTTTTCGACAACAAATGGACATGACCGAGACACACCTGCTGTCACCAAGCTCCGGTGTTTAACTACCATGTAAATGTGTCAACACTTCATTTCCCCTCTGGAATACTGAACTTTCTTAATTTAACCTAACACAAAGTCTGATCAGTTTAATGACTTTCTGTGCAGTCTGAAAAGGAGTGGCTGATGAGCTATCAGCTGTCAAAAGGAAATAAGCCACTGCTTATCCCATCTTGTGTTTGCCCTCTGTGTTCTAGGGTTCGGATGTGAGGGCTGGGATCATTTTGTTTTTAATGAACTGGACTTGTTAAGCCATCTGGGAGACATTGGCAGTTGGGCCTCTTTGGGGGAAAGGGGGTTTCTGGGACTCTGGGGCTCTATATTGATTAAATGACATTCATTTGGATTAACAACAGTGCTGCGTCTGCGGATTGATAAATTGAGTGTTGGAGTCTCAAGGCCTTAAACTGCATTAATGCAGAAGTGAGACTTAAATAATAAGATAATCTCTGTCTTTATTGGTTGGCCTGGATGAGTCCATGGAGTCTTTATAATTCATATATAAACTCTTGCAAGTAAATATGTTCCATGGTCCCTGCTTGGCCGGGAATAACGGCCCCGTAAAAAGTCACACTTAAAATCCCAAATTCCACTTTTATCCGCATTCAGCTGCATTGCACAGTATGTACCTGTTGACTCTTGGGACATCTTTTTTCTGCCAAAACCTGCTGCACACAACTAAACCGTGGAGCATAATCCTAATGCAGAATCACCCCTCTAATATTCCCTGACCTCACCAGTGCTTCAGTGGCGGTGAGGCTAATCCAATCGCTTTTGATAGCTACAGAATGGAATATACCTTTCACCTCACACCACTGTGCACTTGAAAATCTCTATGGCTGTGAAAATATTTAAGTCCCACTATCCTCCACATTTATGGTACACACTGGCTAGCATAATGAGGAAATCCCTGGCCACCTCTATAATTTCAGACACAATTAGCAACATTAGCCACTGCTCTCAGGAGGGCTTCATAGAACAGTTTCCTATGCTGGGCACTATAACACCATGAATAGGGCAAGTCCAGCGTAAGGTACACAACAGTTTTATAATTATATTAAAAGCAAAAGAGACAGCAACATAAACAAAATAGGGACAAATCAATCAGACCCTGGTTTTAGAATATACTAGAAGGGTACTGAGGGTATATAATTCATGCAAATCAACCAATGGGGCAATATGGAGGGGTCCACATTTGAAAGTTAGACTTTCCTCTTTGATAAAGCTTAAATTTAGGGCTGGCTCAGGTGAGTCCTGAACCATCCCTTAGTTATGCTGCTATAGGCCTAGACTGCCGGGGGATTTCCCATGATGCACTGAGCTCCTCTCTCCTCTACTTTCTCTCCCTCTGTATGCATCCTCATAACATTAAAGCATGTTACTAACTCGACTTCTCCCCTTTCTGGTAGTCTTGTGCTTTCTCGTCCCTCTCCTCTCTCCTCCTATCACTTCCTGCAGGTGTTTCTGGCTCTGGAGCTGTGGAGTCTGGATCTGTGGTTGCTGCCCCCGTGTTCCTGCTCGACACCCTCTGCTACAATTATTGATACTAGTCCTGTTGTTATTATAATCTTTAACATTACGATTATTATCATTAACACTATAAATATCTGTACCATTATTCATTCAGTCTACAGCAACATCACCTTTACTGTCTGTACCTCTGTGTGTGTATTGCGTAGGCTGCCCAACCGGTCGAGGCAGATGGCCGCCCACCCTGAGCCATGGTTCTGCTCGAGGTTTCTGCC